TTTTGCGATTTTTTCAATTTTCAGGAATTTTTGCAATTTCCAGGAATTTTTGCGATTTTTGCAATTTTCAGGAATTTTTGCGATTTTTACAATTTTCAGGCATTTTTGCGATTTTTGCAATTTTCAGGAATTTTTGCGATTTTGCAATTTTCATGAATTTTTGCGATTTTTGCAATTTTCAGGAATTTTTGCGATTTTTGCAATTTTCAGGAATTTTTGCGATTTTTGCAATTTCCAGTAATTTTTGCGATTTTTGCAATTTTCAGGAATTTTTGCGATTTTTGCAATTTTCAGGAATTTTTGCGATTTTTGCAATTTTCAGGAATTTTTGCGATTTTTGCAATTTTCAGGAATTTTTGCGATTTTTGCATTCAGGCATTTTTGCGATTTTTGCAATTTTCAGGAATTTTTGCGATTTTTGCAATTTTCAGGAATTTTTGCGATTTTTTCAATTTTCAGGCATTTTTGCGATTTTTGCAATTTTCAGGAATTTTTGCGATTTTGCAATTTTCATGAATTTTTGCGATTTTTGCAATTTTCAGGAATTTTTGCGATTTTTGCAATTTTCAGGAATTTTTGCGATTTTTGCAATTTTCAGGAATTTTTGCGATTTTTGCAATTTTCAGGAATTTTTGCGATTTTTTCAATTTTCAGGAATTTTTGCAATTTCCAGGAATTTTTGCGATTTTTGCAATTTTCAGGAATTTTTGCGATTTTTACAATTTTCAGGCATTTTTGCGATTTTTGCAATTTTCAGGAATTTTTGCGATTTTGCAATTTTCATGAATTTTTGCGATTTTTGCAATTTTCAGGAATTTTTGCGATTTTTGCAATTTTCAGGAATTTTTGCGATTTTTGCAATTTCCAGGAATTTTTGCGATTTTTGCAATTTTCAGGAATTTTTGCGATTTTTGCAATTTTCAGGAATTTTTGCGATTTTTGCAATTTTCAGGAATTTTTGCGATTTTTTCAATTTTCAGGAATTTTCGCGATTTTCAGGAATTTTTGTGATTTTTGCAATTTTCAGGAATTTTTGCGATTTTTGCAATTTTCAGGAATTTTTGCGATTTTTACAATTTTCAGGCATTTTGCGATTTCCAGGAATTTTTGCGATTTTTGCAATTTTCAGGAATTTTTGCGATTTTTGCAATTTTCAGGAATTTTTGCGATTTTTGCAATTTTCAGGAATTTTTGCGATTTTTGCAATTTCAGGAATTTTTGCGATTTTTGCAATTTTCAGGAATTTTTGCGATTTTTGCAATATTCATGAATTTTTGCGATTTTTGCAATTTTCAGGAATTTTTGCGATTTTTGCAATTTTCAGGAATTTTGCGATTTTTGCAATTTTCAGGCATTTTTGCAATTTTCAGGAATTTTTGCGATTTTTGCAATTTTCATGAATTTTTGCGATTTTTGCAATTTTCAGGCATTTTTGCGATTTTTGCAATTTTCATGATTTTTTGCGATTTTTGCAATTTTCATGAATTTTTGCGATTTTTGCAATTTTCAGGAATTTTTGCGATTTTTACAATTTTCAGGCATTTTTGCGATTTTTGCAATTTTCAGGAATTTTTGCGATTTTTGCAATTTTCAGGAATTTTTGCGATTTTTGCAATTTCCAGGAATTTTGCGATTTTTGCAATTTTCAGGAATTTTTGCGATTTTTGCAATTTTCAGGCATTTTTGCGATTTTTGCAATTTTCAGGAATTTTTGCGATTTTTGCAATTTTCAGGAATTTTTGCGATTTTTGCAATTTTCAGGCATTTTTGCGATTTTTGCAATTTTCAGGAATTTTTGCGATTTTTTCAATTTTCA